TGTGGGCGGCCAAACGTGGTAACGGTCTGCGATAATAGCGACTCGTTCCTTTGTGTTGCTAGGTGCCAGACAATCTCGAAAGGGACGCCTCGTTCTAGATCGAACAGTCCCCAGGCCATGACTCGCTGCAAACCCTGCTGGCTCTGTCAGTGTCATTGCTGCTCAGAATCCTTGAGCAACAACCTGAATACCATGGGAGCAACAGTCAACTATACTGAGCACTGATCAGTGACATTGGATTGCCTGGCCTTGCAGCTTATCGGCATCCCTGGGCGTGGTTGAAACGTGGTTGATCAAGCAACAAGATGTGAGCTTGAAAGCGCCCTTTCTGCAGCGAAAGATTTTGTATCAGCGATGCGAGGTGAAGCACCTGCAATGCTGAAGATAATGCAGTTTTTGTAACACGTAAAGAAGTTTCTGCTTGACATTCCTTTCCTCTAAGCATGTAATAAGATCTTACGACTTAGTACTCAATGCAGCCTGTATGATGGCATCACAACATTGGGAGCCTTCTACAGTAAGATCTCAGCTGACAAAGACGCTTCGACGAGGCTGGCCTCTTATTGATAGAGAGACGTTGTCAAGAAGCACTGTGTGCACTCGACCAGTTTTATTGTCCGACTTGGGGCTTATAGAGTGATCGAAGTGTTTGACTATGATCAGCCTGCAACGAGGAAAGTGAGTAAAACTGCCTCTGCGAAGTTCTGAAGGATATGAATGGACAGTTGCCTAATTTAACTCAGATAGTGAAATGTGTCGCCTCATTAAGAATCAACAGGTAAGACTATCCATCTGGGCTCATGATGGACGATTTTGGTGACCGTACATCTGTGAGGAGGGGACTTTTCAAATCACACCTGTGACCCCGCCACTTCTCTGCTGCAGGTCAGGAGGGGGCAAGGTCTCTTTCAAGGTCACTCTGACAAGTGATCCCAAGCTACCGTACAAAGTGTGAGTCTTCTAGCATTCAACCCACTTGATTAGTTTCTCAAGATGTTAGCCATGACAGCTGCAACTGGAACACGCTGGTTGACTTTCTTTAACCGGATGCCACGCGCTCTGTACCAAAGTGTTTGCAGAGGCCGGTCGCTGCCCGTTTCCTCAGTCAGGGCAGGAGAATCAAGCAAGACGAGTAGAAAGGGGCTAACATATTCTGCTTCGCAGACGTCGGTAATTGGAGAGGCTGTGGTTAGTTTTAACAGAGCTGATCCAAGTGTCACCCGTGTTTGCCACCGGCCAGAAGGAGACTTCCGAGATTGTGTGAAGAACCACCGGGGCGGTTCGTGGAAGGCCTTACGCGTTTCCATTTTTCTTCGTTCAGGTTCAATGTCCCAGAAGAGGCACCGTTTCTTGCTGTGCTAAAGTTTGCAGCCGAGGAGGTAAGTTTTATCAGCAAAAGATGATTCTGTACTCCGTGGCCATTGACACCAGTTGTTCTGTGAGGGATTCTATCCAACACCACCTCAAAAAACCACTAAGCAGGCAGTCCGTGCTTGCTTACACATGAAAGAGGAACTTGCGACTTCTCGAGTATTTCAAGGCATAAACATCTGAAAGTTAGCGGTCTTCGCACGCCTCGTTCAGCTCAACAGTAGAAGCAGTTACCCCAGGAGCTCGGGGGTGTCCCTTCTTACTTCACCTTTTCCCTTCTTGGGCAGTTCAAAGTTCCTCCTCAGACGAGCGCGATCATTACAAACGGTGAGTATTTAGAACGTGTTCGGACCGGTCTTTTTAGGCAGACCCTTCTCAATATCCAATGAGCTTTTCGGAATCATCTGAAGCTTGATGTAGACTTGGGCTCGTGAAACGAAAATCATACTTCATTGTCGTTCCTCTTGCCTAGAAACAATCTGGGCCCTAAGACGCCTTTGGCTCGTTCTGAGGAGTCCACGAATGCCGCGTGCGGCAGACGGCAATCGCTCGACATTCCAATGGACTGAGTCCATTGAGGGTTTACCCGAAACAGTACAGACGGCTCTTGCTTTGAACAAGTCTTCTCGTTGCGCATTACCCAGCATGTGTGCGGGGCTCTGTGGTTCAGCCGTAAGAGGTTGAAGCGGGAAGTCTGTTAGACGGGAGAGAGAAAGAATCGTGAGACCTTCTTCAAACATGTGTGCTGACGCCAGTCCTTTGTCCTGCCTTTTGCCTCACCTTCTTGCAGACGGTGTTGGCATCAGCCCACAGCAAAGTGCAGGTGAATCTCGGTCCGCCTCGCATTCTTCTTGGAGCTCGAAAGCGTATGGAATCTCTCTCTGTTTCTTTGCCTTATTGTTGCCAAATTGAATTGCTCAATGAGTAGCAAAACAATCGTGCACGTATAGCTGAATACGACACTGAATTGAAGAGTTGCCATTCCGCTAATAGCATGGGACGACCTTGATGTTTGCAGGCAACGTCTTTTTGAAATACGGGTCAGATCTACGATTGATTCCCCGTGACAGAGTTGGGTAGGAGGAATTGTCTCACAAGCAGATTCTTCGATTGACAACTAGAAACGACCCGGCTACACTTGTAACATACTCATGAAGTCCATTTGAGATGGTGTTGCTTCATTTCACCATTGATCCTGTTTGGCATCTACCCCGTCAATGGTTGGGGCTCTTGGTATGGCTCTATAGCTTCTTGTCCTTTCGCCACATGATATTTGGTTCGGGGCACATGACCGTACTCGTACACCGGGTGCGCTAGATAGCCTTCTTCTTATTGCACATCGTATCGAAAGCCTGTAAGAACTCGTTTGCGAATGACCAGTGATGCGAACGTTTTGTCCTGATCCTTGCTGAATCAAAGCTTCGCATTGTATGCGCCATGGCCAGCTAGCGACTCTAGAGCTGGCATGCCGCACCACTTTACTCCAGGGCGGTGCAATGAGTGGGCTTCAAGCAGGTTGGAATTCAAGTAGCTCACCTTTTATTGACCGTACATACATTGTCTTGCATCGCTTGCACGGCATCTGGCCAGGCCATGGTAAACACTATAGATGCATCTCTGCTATGAAAAGCATGCATGGCCGCAGGAACTGCGAAAACGGCGAGTGTTGCAAAACGACCACTGTACCAAGCTGTCGGTATGAAAAAGTTTGGAGCTGGCGGGACTTGAACCCGCATCTCTCAGCCAACCTAGCAAACCCGGTTTCTTTGACCGCCCTGCGAAGCCCCCTGGACTATCCCGAGAGACTCCCCGGGCCCGGCAAGGCAGGTATCCGCGGCCCCGGTTCACCAGGCCGGTCTCGCCCGAACTTACGAAACGAGACCGCAACGGCAACCCCCGTAGCTCGCACACACGCAATCCTCGCGGGGCGAGCTCAGATTGAGGCGAAGACCGTTAACATGCATGCCACTTTGGCAATGCCGGTCATTCTGGCGCTCTGCCATTTGAGCTGCAGCCCCTGAACTGTCCAGACAGAGGTTGGCCGGTAAATAAACCGTCAATCGGCGGGCGTCGAAATTTGTGGGCGAACGTCGCCTGCGTCGGACTTCGAGTCTCGACCGTCCGATGTCACACTCGACGGTCGAGGTGTTCTGCTAACATCTAACCAGTTATACGGGTTCAAAATGAAACTGTACGTTGCGTAAAGTGCCCGCGACGTGCCACCGAGTCCCGCCGAGCCAGAGGCTCCGTCTTGTAGAACCGCCGCTCTGTCATCTTGTCGTGGCGCAAAGGCGGCTTACAGCGTACGTCGAAATCCCATGTTGAACTCTCGGAAGAGCAAGACATCCGTAGACGTTCAGATTGTTGAGAGATTCATGTTGATCATCTTCTTGACGTGTCATAAGAAGTACGTATACTCATGAGCGGTGTAATACAAATTGGACTGCCGGGAAAAATTGATGCTTCTGCTTAAGACGTATGCAAGGACTCCCGAGGTATTTTGTCCATGCTCGTCGCAATAGCCGCCGCTCCTGAAGGATTGCAGGCATACCAACTACTCAGCCTGTGTGCTACGAAGCCATCTTTTTTGCGAATCATTATATGAAAACCCGACGCGTACGCTTCATGCAAACAAATCTACTTATTGAAGATGTGAAGCAGGAAATAGGGGCTATGCAGATATCATTGCAATCTGCGCTCAAGTGGCCTGTTGACTCCGCCTTTCCCTGTCGCCTCTAAGTTCTCATTTAACAACCTCACTGCAACCTCCGGCGCCAAGCTTTGCTCGTCCAATAGCAACTCATTTCCAGTGTCTTCAGCTTTTTTTTTGTTCGTACTCATGTGGTCGCGATTAGTACTGTGAACGGTCCGCAAATGACGTCAATGACGTACCGAGATCATATGGACACGTTAAAGCGTCCGGATCTGGCTGCTCAAATGTGACCCACAATCAATTAAGCCATGTCATTGGGCATAAATAATGAACCGAGCCCGTTCCGACACTGCCGATAAAATTTCATGAAGAAAGTCCAAAGCTAGACGAATTTGTGGATCTGACGTCGACACGAAAAACGTGCGAGACTGAGGTCCTCTTACATCACTTCTTGGGTCAATTGTTCCAGTCACTGGACAGCATAAGGCACGTCTACTCTATAGATCCGGCTGAATTCGGCAGTGCTCTGGGATTCTCACTCGTTCTCTGATTTCTTATCGCCAGATCTTATCAAAAAGAGCAAGTTATGTGTGATCCAGCATCCTGCTGTCAAACTCCTGAAGCAGCATTTTGTCCAAGGTCTCGACCTCCGCATCTTCTTCCTTGTTCTTCTCCTCCAAAGCGACCTCGTACGCCGCCCTCTGTCGCCCGAGCAGAAAAGTGACGGCCGAGACACACGCACTGATCTGCACCGGCCTCGACCAAACAACCAGGGTGCAAAATGTGCGCGCTGGTAAACCCATCGGCGCGGCCGCGAGCAGCCGCGCCAGGGGGAGTACCATCGGCGCGGCGTACAAAAGCGCTCTCCAGGAAGACTTCAAGAGTTCCCAGCGTGGTACGGGCACCGGAAGGGGAACACTATAGGGTAGCGGGAGAAGCGCCACCCGGGCGTAGTCCAGTCTGAGGGCGTAGGGGTGGAGCCTCGAACTGAGGGCGGGGCAAAGAGCGACCAGGAGTCGCAGGAAACACTCGCAGTTCCAGGGAAGACGGCAACGAGGCAGGCGCGCTTCGGCAGCCCGGTGGATTGTTCCGAGGGTGGAGAAGAGCCCGGGGAGAACACTGATGAGGAGCGTGACGCAGAGAGCTGACTCGCACCGAGCGGCAACAATTCCGTTCAGGAAGGAAGGCCGTGAACTGAGCGCAATAACTAGGAGGAGCAGCGGCTGTGGAAGCGTGAGGAAAGCCGCCGAGAGGAAGAAACTCGTCCCCACACCTAGTTGGCCCCCGTAGAGACCGCGCGAGAAGCAGTAGACCGTTACGACTGTGCTCAAGTACAGCCCGATCGTCACGACTGGCTGCAGGAGTCCCCCGAGTTGCTGAAAGAAACCGTCGAAGAACAGGGTCAGAGTTCCAAACAGCCCGGGGGAGGCCCTTGAGGTAGTAAGTAGGAGCGAGGGCGGGGGATCCCACTGAACGACTTTGCTGACCGAGTTGTAGAAGCAAGCCCGGTTTGTTTTTGTTGGAGATAAGTACTTCAACTTATCCACCTAGGCCATCCCTGCGCAGGGATGGCCTAGGTGGATAAGTTGAAGTACTTATCTCCAACAGTTTTGGGGTCGGATAACATGTGCCAGTCGGGGGGAAGCCCCGGGTGCCGCGTCAGCAGCCTGCCCGTCGTAGCTGTGCCGTTCTTGAATGATTGCAGCGCCGCCCATTCGAGGTAGATGGCGTTTGACGTCAGCAATATGTGGAGAAGAACGGCGTCAGGAAGGGGCAAGTTTGCGATCCTCAGAGGCGGGAGGACAGAGCACGAAAGGGCGAACAAACTGAGAGCGAAAGCAGCCAGGGTCACGGTCTCCGCGGAAAGTCTGAGCGAGACGTCGGGGCCCAGGGGCGGCTCGGTGGGCTCCTCCGGGCTCTGCTCTCCTGAGCTAGGTTCCCCGGGGCTCGCTCCCCCTGCTTTCATTTTCCCCTTCCCCCTCTTTTCCAGCCGTTCGATACTCCCTGCCTTAGCTTCCGCGGCGCTTGGCTGCGCCCTCGCGAGGTCACTTGGCGTTGCTGTGAAGCCAAAAGCATAGCCAGGTGCATCTTTTTGCACCCACTTCCTGAGCGGCGCTCCCGTGTTCAGACCCAAAGCTGGCATGGTCTTGTACAACGGGCGAGCGTCTGATCTGCTTAGACGGGACGGCTGCCTCCGAAAAAAGGCTTCGCCACGTGGCCACTGCCAGGATGCATCTGGGGTTCTGCTTGATGCGAGAGTACAGAAAGGGCGGGCCATGTGACAGGGCCTCTTAGTGCAATGGAATTTTAACCTTGTAGTGGGCAGTGCCATATTCTGAGAGCGCTGAAGCTCTCTACCAAGGAGATTTGAAGGCCCGTTTGGCATAGTGATATTTAACCTCTGCAAAATGTGGACGTCCCTCTTTCCCACAGACGCGCCACCTTCAGGATTCAGGACGCGACGCGATGCTGCCAGCCAATGACCCGCCGCCGGCGCCATTGACATGCTTGACGCCATTTTTCAATCCCTCGAACTGAGAAGACCACAATTAAGCGCCCGCACCGGCTGTCCTGTCCAGCAATGGCGTAGAACTGCGGTCACGTAGCCTTTTTTTGCCACGTCGACACGTCCGTCTTGGTTCTGCAGACAGACCAACATGATGTGACAAGTGAATAATGCTGGACAGGTGTCAAAAGGGATGCGTCAAAGATGGTTGGACGGTAAAATTCGTATCCTACGGGGGCGTTTGACTATCTTGTGATCTGTTTAGACTTGAGATATTCTGCCACTGCGTTGCTTGTGAAGGCGCACCTGATCAAGACGCACTGTCTTTCTGAGCGATTCAGTCCTCTTTCAGTGCCTCTGCTTCAGCAGCAGTAAAACTTTTGGTTCATAGCCAAGCTGACATGATTGCGAAGAAAGACGGGGCGTCGCCTGGCGGTCGCAAGACTCCAGCTTCAATGCATCGATTCCGCCATGGGCCCCTCCTGACTATGGGTCTCTGCAACTACGACGTAAGGGGTTAGAAACAATGGATCTTTCCATTACCCGAGGTTGAAATGCTGTTTGAGCGTTAGACGTGACAGAATTCAAACACGTCATGAACCTTGGTCATACTGGCATAGCCAAACGAAAAAACAGTCGAAGGCGCCTCCTGGATCCGGACGACCTCGCCTCGTCGCCAAAGCTGTCCAACAGTTTGGCCTCGGCCTTGATCGCCAGATTATCGATTTTCCATTACGTTCTGATTTGCCACTGGGAGACAGCCGGCGTCACAAGTCGACTTATCAGGAAATTAACTGGATGTTCAGACATGTGGAGCCATATCCATTCATGCAACCACAACCATGCCCAAAAATCCTGACAACTCCTTTCATTGGTATAGTCGATTTAGCGCTCAAGCGGATCAAGGCTGCTAGGCGCTGAATAAGGAAAAGAGGGTGGTCGATTTTCGGGGGCCATACTTTTCCCTCGCCCTCATTACTGGGCGCTATGAGTATGTAACGGCCGGGGCTGCAGGCTGACATTTATAGAAGGGAGGAGAGCTGCAAACGCAGTAAAGATGCGAAGCTCACTATTTTGATCGCCCCGCAATCGCCAAAGAAACTGAACTTACCAGTCAGCCTTGACTTACGCAAGTCAAAGGTCCTTGACGTACATATCTGACATGGAACATAGTGATTCGAATGTATGTTTTGTAGAGTATCACTGGAAGAACCATGACTGGAACGCTTCCTTTTCATTATCAACATCTTATCTCCAACCTCTCATCAGTAGACGCAAACGAATCATTGACTGTTTGCAGAGGTTTCAACGGCTGACTCTGCTACCTCGAACTGTCCGAATAGGCCCTGAAGCAGCACCTGCACCGTAGATTCGGAGTTGGACGGCCGAGCTGCCCGTTGACGAGACATACCCACAATTAAGCTGTTTTCTAGACTGAAGACTTATATACCGAACAGATTTACAGATAAGAAGTTCGGGAATGGGGCCGTAGCTCAATTGGTAGAGCGCCAGGGCGGACTGCTGAACGCGGTTGCCCGAGCGATTGAATGGCGTCAGGACGCACTGAGACGTCAGCTTGAGCCCAAAACGAGGCACAGTGACGATCAGAAAGCTGAGCGATTGCCGTGAGAGATGCGGGTTCGACTCCAGCCGGCTCCACACTTTTGCAATCCCCGTTTCCAAACCCGTCGAGGTTTGACGACCGGCGACCTCCGCTCTTCCAAAGCTTATGAATGAACCAGAGTTCAATAAAGTAGGACCTTCCAATAAAACACATGGATGGAGTTTCGCAAAGTTAACAATGTGAGGGTGAAAAGATTTCACGCTTTCATGTTCAATTCAGAAGGAAAGTCAAACTCGAAGGGAGCGGAGCGTTCTGATGAGCTGGTTGGCGAAAGCTGACTCTGAGACGGCCGACCATTCTGCAATTGATGGGGTGATCGCATCCAAGCTTCAAAATGCAGTGGCCTCATAGGTTATCCTTTCTGACTCTTGTACTTTGATCTGCGTACCTACAGTCGCTTCTCATCTGCAACTACGCTCTTACTACCCACGCACGATTTTGGCAGGGAAACACTGGCTGCAAATGAGTGTGGAGAACCGGCAGAAGATGCAGGGAAACTTTCCGAAGCAATCCGCCGGTGAGTCTGGCCCTGAGCATTCTCGACGAACGGAGAAGTCAGACACGAAAGCTAACCCGTACGAACCTAGATAGGTGCGTGTTCCTTTGGGATCCTCTTGCATGATTTGTTTCCACTTTAGGTAGGAGTCTGATCATGAGGGTCACAGAGGATCGACGTTGCCCCGAAGGGCGATTTCAGGAATCTCGTATCTTTTGCCCATCAGCGATCCACAAGGGTAGGTCCGCAGACTGAAAGGGACTTTCCAAATTTTTGAATCAACATCGAGTGTTACGTTCATGGCTCTGGGCGTCAAATACATGTCACCTCACGTCTGTTTTTGGCTCATTTCGCTCCGATGACGATTAAATGTTTTACATATGCTTTGATGCCTTTGTCGGTAGACTCGGAGAGGAGGGCAGTCTGCCCCCTGCGGCCATTGGATGTGCCGAACAAGTCAACTTCGTCGTCTTGATTCGCTCACGCTCATGCAGATCCCGCGAACTCTCTCCTTCACAATCTTCATCAGCCCATATCAACGGCTGAACTCTTTCCTAGCATTCAATGTTCACTGCCCTTCATCAGTGATCTGGATAAAGCCTCGTTTAGGAGCATTTGGCTGCCTCAATCAGCCTGACGAGCACGGATTGCGGCCAGACACGGAATGCGGCCATACTGTTTTATGCTTTTGCCACGGCGTTCACTTTGATTACACGTATGGATTTGGTGATAGAGCCACGGATCAGGACGTTGATTACAGGAAGATGAGTACTTGATTGCGCCGAAGTCAAGGAAAGCTTGCGTCGGACCCATTTGCAGTGGTCGATGATTTCGAGCAAGATTCATACTTTCCCCCGTGGAGCTCAGGTAGGAGTCGCCTTTTGCTATAGTTCAAGATTGATTTACATTGGAGTTCTGAGAGTCTCCATGCGACTATCCATGTTCTGACGGTATACCGTCAGAATATACGTGCCCATAGTTAAGCACACTAGATAGGCTCATGCATGACAAATTGTTCAAAAACGAAATATCGGCGGTAGATATCAAATGCGATATGTCGTTTTTAGATCTTGCGGAAGGACAAATTGCTTCGAACCTGCTCCTTGTGCGGTCCTCAGAAAAGTACTTTCGTAAAGTATGAGGTGGCTTCTGATCTCTATATAGAGAGTGAAAGCACGGATACACACGCGTTCAATTTGACATACAACGGTCCTATACTCACGACGGGTGCTTCGTGTAATAGCTTTCTAACGTATAGACGGTTGAAGTCGACGACTGCTACCAGAAGCACGAGACCCGACTTCAAACGGCTTTTATCTTACTTTCTACCCACGCGCATCACTTAACCCGCTTGTTCGCTACGTTACCCAGTCTACTATTTCGAGATCACCAAGGCCTACGCGCGCGTGTAGATTAAAGAGTTTCGATGACACCTGGCATCACTAGCATACGGTTCTATAGCTCTGGTCTTACCCTCGGCAATGATCATTACCGTTTGACGTCAACAAGCTTCACTCTTTTATACAGTATCACCTCAACCTGTGCTTAATAGGAAAGTCCTCAATCATTGTGCCTCAACAGCGGTCCGATCTGCTGCCTTCGGCGAGTCTCGCTGCCAGAGGCTCGTCAGTTTCATCAGAAAATGGAGCGGAGACAGAGGCGGGGTCTTGGAAACCCCCTCCGTTGCTACAGAGCTGGGCCCCCCGGCCGCCGACCCCACGCCGGTAGCCTCCCCCGTCTCCCCGCTGGCATCCCCGGGCACCTGCCGATACTTTCTCCGACTCGCCCTTTTCTTTCCCCTTGCGCTTCCCGGTAGGGCAAACCCGGCCAACAGATCCTCGCTCATCCCCTCGGAGCCGAACGTGAGCTTGCGCTGCGTCCCGTTGCCAAAGCCCGCAGCCCCGGCCGCGAGGTGCTGCTTGGCGGACGCTGTGATTGCCACCTGGCTGATAAACCCTGGCAGGGGTTTGGAGTTGAGGTCTCTCAGCTCCAGGAAGGGCTGCTTCGGGGGGGAGCCGAATAGAGCGGCCTCCTTCGAAGCTTCCTTTTGCAGGCGCACGCCGTTTTGGCACGCGAAGGGGTCGGCGCTCGCAGGCCCCCGCAGCGGCGGGCTCAGCTCTTTCCTGCCCGGTGCCGTCGGCTGGTTCTCGTCAATGACGATCGGGACCGCCCGGGGCGCTCTCTCCGGGCTGCGTTGCAGGCAGGCGCTATCTGGGGACCGCCCAAACCGGGTGCGACCGAGCTTCTTGCGGCTGCCGCCAGGGCTGGCGGGGCTCGCTTGGAGGGGCTGCGGGTTTTCTTCGATCAGGGCGAGTGTGGGGCTGCCGCTGACGTGGGTAGACAGAGGGGTCGTGAGGCGGGAGTTGGGAAGGGTGGAGGGGCTGGAGTGACAGCTGCTGCGGCTGCGGGGCCTGAGGGATCTGCAGAGGAACAGCAAGGGTTTGATTAGACCTTTGAAAGACTTGGAAGAGTTGGGTAGTGTTAGCGACTTTCTTGAAGATCAGTTCGTTCAACAAGCAACCTTTCAAAGGCTCACGGGTGGTCTGATCATCGTGCAGAAGGGACCGCTGCAGAGAGAAACAGGTCAAGGGCACTCAAAACTTGATACCAATGAGACAGGTCAACGCAGGGCTTGCAATGCAACTTAACTTGGATTCAGCTGCGTTGATTCCTGTAGATGTGTAAAGAGGGAACAATGGATACATCTGAGACACAGAGGTTGAAACGTTCTTGAACGGTCACTTACTTTGCAACTGCTACTCGGAGGGCCTGCTTCAGTGTGTGTACCTTCAACTCAGCGGGGCTCATTGAAGACTTGTCGCCGACGTACTTCTTACAGCCAGCAATCTGCATCCATCAGAAGATTCTTGGTTATTACAAGGCTTTGAGCTCTTGGAACACTCGATCTTGTGGAAACGCCCAGAGAACGTGCTTAAAGCTGAGACTACCATTTTGGTGAGTAAACAAGTGCGCGCAGAGTCAAGGTTGCCAAATCACAAACAATATGCAATTTAACCCCTGCTGAGGCAGAGCCTATTCAGATCCTGCTCTTTGCAGGCACACAAATCCTGCGCAACAAAGAACTTACCATCTCATTCGCTGTCTCTGCTGCGTTATCCAACCCCGCCTCTTGCAGAAAGGCTGTCAACTCACTGCTGGTCACCTTGGCCGCGTCCTCTGGAAAGGCATCTTCTAGATTTAGGCCAGCCTCCTGTGTCTTGTTGGCAACATCAAGCATAAGCAGATCCATGTGCTCCCTGCAGGATAATCCGGCCACATATGCATTACTCGCTTGCACAGAATCTGGACAAAAAGGTCTTCTGTCAGCAGTGCGTTTGCACAGGTTTTAGACAGGAAAGATTTGTCCAGTCAGTGCATGGAGGTATGCGTTTGCACCTCTACATACATTCCACCCATTGAACAACTGAAGCCGAAAAAGAGACTTGTCCATCTCTCTTAATATGCTGTGGATTTCAAAAGGTCTTATTGTCTATGTAAACTTATGCAGCCTTCCAAAACTTCGCAATGTCAAACTAAGCCTGTTGTGCTGTCCTAAAGTCATGATCGCCATTGGGACGACAAGAAGATGGCAGTATGTTGGCATGGGTTCTGGTTTCATACAAGCAGAGCACGATGTCTTACTATTGCAGACAATTTGGATACAATTGAGCTGTTCAAGGAAGAGGATCACCATTTTCCACTGCCAGCCAGCCTGCTTGGGTCCAAAATGGACTGCCTTCATGTCAGCGATGAACCAAATGGTCACTTTGTTGATCAGCATCCTTCAAACAGTCAAATGTTCTCACCTCAACACAAGCTCCTCAGCAGTAGGGCTTGGCAGCCTTGACATGGGAGTGACCGACGGAGACCTCGTCCTGGGTCCAGTGGGACTCAGCACAGCCGCTTCTTTCTCCAGGATAGCATCTACCTCAATGGACAGAGGTCGTGGAGGCATGAGTATGGGAAAAACTCTGTTTCTGGGGGGCGTCTTGGGCAACGCTTCTGCCAAGATGGCCTCCATCTTGCTTGCTGACATTCACTGGGAACTGCAAAAGGTGAACAATTCTAGAGCAATCATGCTGATCAAGAGAACACCTCAACCCTGCTCGCTTTCAACTTTGTAGCTTTCCTTGGTGGAAAAGAGCATCCCTTCGAAAAGCTTCACTGACTACAAATGCTTCTGAGGTGCTCGTTACAATGGCTGTCAATGGCGTTCCGACTTCTCCTTATCAATTCTTCTCCAAAGCTTCAATGACCCTGTCATATTCGTCTCCAGCTGCTGATATTTTCCTACCGGTAAGATCTTTTGATATGCAAGAGGCCGTGGATTTCAGCTTTATCCCCTTCTGGAGCCCTGTGTAAAGCAAGGAGGACCTCTAGAACGCTTGAATGGAGGGACCGCAAATTTAGCTACCGTCTTCCAGCCGCCCTGGGCCTTACTAGGGCGCACGCTGTCAAAACGTGTGCTTGAGGTTCCACGTGACGAAGGTTTCGCTTTGCAAGGTATCTCAAACCAGGGCTGCGAAGCTGAGCCTCAAGTTCTGAGCCAGAGCGTGGTCTTGCTTGATTGTATTGTGGACTCAAGGCCACAAATGCACCATGCAAAAAGCTGCTCAATGCCGCCCTCGCTCGTGCGTCACGGTCCCATGTGAAGTCATCCACCCCCGTAACCGCTGCTCTAGCGGCAACTTCGGCGTGCAATCGCAGCCGTACAGTTCAAGCAAAACGATTGGGGCCGTTGATAAAAACATAAGCGCGTTCGAAAGTGATGTCAGCTGAAGGGGTCAGGTGATTTTCAGCCACTGAGCCCGCAGCCAGCCTACAGCCTTCTATAGCTAGGCCCATCCATGAGCTTGTGCTGATGTCAACGAACAGTTGCTGTCAGAAGAGACGTACCTAGGGACTTTTTGATACATGCACCTAGCGTACGGTACCCATCAAGTTACTAATAGGTAGGTAGGTACTCATACCTAAGCCTACCTCTTACATGTACCGCCGAAGCTAGGCAGGCCGCAGGCCCTGGGCCTTAGGCCCCTCGGGTGCCCGTCAAGTACCTACATACGGTATACCTACTCTGGCCGTGTAAACCTCCGATCATCGGACGGTAGGATAGTGACGACAAAAGGCCCGCCGAGTACTGAGCGACAGTCACGTGACACTGACACTGGTGACATCGACTAGTAGGTTCTAACTTCTGCGAGGTCATTTGCTTGCGTGCATGACATCCAAAGGCAAAGGAAAGCGCCAGATTGTGCAGGCTGAACCATTCTCTGTTGATCAGGACAAAGCAAGACTGACAGTACAGGCAAACCACTACTACAGTAGGAGATAGTCCTAACTCAGGAGATACTCCAGAGCAGGGAACGTCCGAGTAAAGTCTGGCCAGAAGCTCAGCCGACGTCCGGTCGTTCTGCTTCCATCTGCATAGGAAGCCCAGTTCAAGCTGCAACAAAGATCGAGCGCTGTGTCCCAGCTCTGTCTTGGATTCATTGTCACAATTTGATTGTACCTGTTGGTGACGAGTTGCAAACAAGATCACGCGGGGCATTGAGATGCAGCCATCTGTTATTTGAGCTGGGCTGGTTGATCAGCATTTGTGGAAAATTACGGGCTGCTTTTGATCAGATCCACTTGTAGGTTTGGTTGTCCTTTCCTGGTGTGAATATTAGGGGCTTGTTAAAAATTATCCGTCGTTGAAGTCGCAGTCATTGAAGACAATGCCGCAGATCTCACCTGACTTTACCCCAGCCGCATCCCTTGCTGGAGGCGTGCTTATAGGTGCTGCGGCAACATTGTATCTTGCCTGTAGTGGGAGGCTCAGCGGCCTTTCGAGTATCATTAGAGGTGAGCTGCTAGTCAGCACATTGAAGGCTGCCTGCGCTGCTTTGTTGTCATAAGCTGGCCACCAGCTGGTAGAATTGTGTCGAGATGTGATTATTGAAATGAGCTCTTAATTTGATCAACATCGAGTACCGTAGTAGATTTTGACGTGGTCCGGCAGCGACCACTTAAATACTGGTGCACCGGATGACCCCTGAGCTCACCAAATCCGTGAGAGTG